TTCCACCGCCTGGGCGGCCCCAGCCCACCCACGGCGAGGCTAGGCCCATCGCCCCAGGTCCTTTGCCCTCTGACCCGCGGCGTCATCCCCAATCAGGCTGGCCGCCGCGAGCCCGAAGGGGGAGCAGAGGGATCCCCAGGTTTGGCCCCACACAAAGACCCCCGAGAGAGACAGACAGCCTGAGAGGCTGAAATGGAAACAAACCAGAAAATGGTGGTGAAAAACAGCGACAGACACAGATTCGTGCGGCAGAAGCAAAATCAGACGTGGAGAGGCCCTCAGAGCGGAGTCCCGCGAAGGGTCGGGGCCGCGAGGGCTCAGGGTGCCCCTGAGGGGTTGCTCCTGACCACCCCCCAAGCACAAGCCCTGTCCCAGAGCTGTGGGGGGCCCACCAGCTGCATGGCTGAGGAGGAATGTGGGGAGCAAGGCTGGGTCACCCCTTGAGGGCCAAGCGTGTGCGCTGGGAGATAAACTCCCCCGGCACGGAGCCCCAGCTGCGACTGCACGCTCCGGGAGCGGGCGAGAGGCCCAGCGGTCCCTCCCGAGGTGCTCCACCAGGGCCCCCTTTCCAGAAGGCGAGCCTCGGAGGGCATCCAGATTCTGAGAGTGGCCCCGTCACAGATCCTGAGCGTCCCAGCCAGCTAGAGCCTGCCTGCTCCAGCCCCAACTGCCTTCCTGGCTGAGGGCAGGGCCTGGGGCTCAGCAGCAGGAGCTGTGGTGCGGGAGCTTTGCACCTGACTGTCTCCAGGGGGCCCTGTGCTTCCTCAACATGGGGGTTCGCAAAGACACGCATGTCCACAGGTTGCCAGGAGCTCCCTCCGCCTCCCAGCCCGCTCACAGGCCAGAGAAGTAGCCCCGGAGGCACCTGGTCTCCTCCCCCACCAGGTGAGCCCGGCCTGGCGAGAGCCCTGAAGCTGAGGAGGAAGAGCGAGCAGGTCCTTTGCGTCCACCGGCCCCTCCCTCCTGCAGCTGAGGCTCCCGCGGCCACGGCCTTGACCCAGCACTGCGGACTTCTCTGACATTGGCATCGGATCTGAACATCTGGCAGCAGGCTGATAAGGGGTGCAGCGGAAACAGCCTCTGTTGCTGCCAGAAGCTCCACCCCCTCCACCGCCTGAGGAGGGTCTCCTCGTCCAGGCTCCCTCACCCCCTCCACCCCCTGAGGAGGGTCTCCTCATCCAGGCTCCTTCACCCCCATCACCCCCTGAGGAGGGTCTCCTCATCCAGGCTCCTTCACCCCCATCACCCCCGAGGAGGGTCTCCTCATCCAGGCTCCCTCACCCCCCATCACCACCTGAGGAGGGTCTCCTCGTCCAGGCTCCCTCACCCCCCTCCACCCCCTGAGGAGGGTCTCCTCGTCCAGGCTCCCTCACCCCCTCCACCGCCCTCCTGCCCCTTCTCTTCTGGGCTCTGCCTCTGCCTCTCTCCTCTTCACCTTTTCCTTTTCCTTCTCCTTCCTCCTCTTCCTCTCCCTGAATTTCTCTCTCTTCCTCCTCCCTCCCCCCTCCCCTCCCCCTCCTCTTGTCCCCCCCAACCATCTCTGAGCCTGTTATGCTGACAGGGGTCTCCTTTGCTTATTTTCTGCCTCCCTTTCTCTAAGGTTTTTGTCTTTTTTACCCTGTACCCCAACCCAGCTTGATGCGTCCATCTCCCCTCCATTTCAGTTTCTGGGTCTCTGTTTTGTTTGTTCCTTGCTCCACCTCCAGGAAACAGGCCTGGCACTGTGGGAAAGTCCCCACTTAGAGGAGAGACCCTGGGCTTTGTTTGCTTGGGGGGGCGGGGGGCCGGGTAACCGGGTTGGGACTGCCCTCTTCTCCTTCCCTTCCCTCGGGATGGGGCCCATGGCCTGGGACCACCTGGGCTGGAGCTTGAGGGAAAGGCAGAGGGTCCCCCCAGGGGCTCCGACAGTGCTGGGAGGACTGAGTCTGCAGGCCCAGGGGCTGGATTCCGGCTGCCTAAATTCTCATCCTGAGCCCATCACATCCCTGCCTTGTGACTCTGGACGACGACGCCCCTCTCTGAAGCTGAGTTTCCTTCTCTCTCAAATGCTGCTCATGAGAAGTGGGGGTGGGGTGTGGGGGAGTCCATTCACCTCCCGGGGGTGGGGGGAGGTTGGGCATGGGGTGGTCAGTAGAGGACCCTGCCCATGGGGGGCACCTTCGTGCTAGGGCCTTGTCATTCTCCTCATGCCTTATCCAGTCAGGGTGAGGGCAGAGGAGGGGCCACACAGAGGAAGAGGAAGGGACGTCAGTGACCAGATCCAAGGGGAGCAGGAGTGGACAGGGTCCCGGCTGAGTGGTGGGAAGTGACAGCTGACTGTCACCAGAGAATGCGACAGGACAGGAAGGCCAGGCAACAAGTGGGGGCCTTGGGCACAGGGGCGAGTAGTCATTCAACAAACACTGATGTTGCTCTGGGCTGGCTGCTGTGCACCGAGAGATAACTCAGCCCTCAGCCTCTCCTTGAGGGTTCCCCAGGCTGGGCTGAGTCACTCTATCACAGAAGGGCAACGAGCATTCGTGATGTCGTAACCTCAGACAGCACAGAAAGGGTCCTAAGGACACCCACCACTCCTTCAGCGGGTTGTTTGTGTTTTGCTAACATTTATTGAGCAAACAGAACATGCCAGGTAGCCACCAAGTATGTTCCGTGGAGTTCCTCACTTATCCCATTTGACAGAAAGGACATGAGTCTCAGAAAAGGAAAGTAACAGGCCCAGGTCCACAGAACAGCAAAACTAGGATTTCCTCCAGTCCCACCACCAGGCCTCAGCCATTCTCCTAGGCCTCATGTCCTCACAGGAGACTGAAAATCAGGCTGGTGCTTTCCCTGGCGCCATGGTGTTGAAAGACCCTGTTTCATCCTGTGGATGAGGAACCAGGCAAGGCAAGCGGACCCATTTCACAAGATCTCCTGCCTGACTGTTGCCCCATGTCTGTGACATGTTGGTGATAGAAGGAACTTGCTGGGATATTTCTTTTATTTTTCTTTTTTCTTTTTTTAAGATTTATGTATTTATTTATACAAGCACTGGGTATAGTCAGAAGCACGGGAGGGTGAGAGAATTCACCAGAGCCAGAGCAGGGAACAGAACAGGCAGACCGACGAAATACACTGCTGAGGGGAGCAGCGGGCGAGACAGGAGAGGTCTGTCGCGCCTTGTGGGACCCTCGCCGGCAGCTGGGAATCGAACCGGCGCTGCAAAGGCTGCAGGCAGCTTCGCAGCCCAGCGCTCAACCGCTGTGCCACCAGGGGAGGCCCCTGGGATATTTCTTTTTTAATTTTTAAAAAATTTTTGCAGGGGCCTCCCTGGTGGCACAAGGGGTTAAGTAAGCACCGCACTATGAAGAAATCTGCAGACTCCCCAACCGACCAAGGAGCAACCTACATGGCGCAGCAGACCTCTCCTGGCTCGCCCGCTGCTCCCCTCAGCAGTATATTTCGTCAGTCTGCCTGTTCTGCTCCCTGCTCTGTCTCTGGTGAATCCTCTCACCACCCCCCGCATCTCTGGCCTATACCCCAGATCTTGTATGCATAAATAAATAAATCTTAAAAAAAATTTTTTTTTTGCATAGAAGAACTGAGCTGTAGGCCAGAGGTGCTGGGGGGGGCGGGGTGAGCGGATTCACCAGAGACAGAGTGGGGAGCAGAAGCAGGCAGATCTACTGAAACACACTGCTGAGGGGAGCAGCAGGCGAGTCGATCCCTGGCTGGGGATCGAACTCAGGCCATAGAGGTGGTGATAGTGCTGAGACTTAACCCCTAGGCCATCAGGGAGGCCCCCCCTCTTTTTTAAATTCAGTGGATGAGTGAGTGAAGTTAATTCAGAAACTAAATTGTATTGCATTATAACAGGACACTAGTCAGATTCAGTCATAAGCAAGAGATGTATGTGTTGTCAGAAAATCTGTGAGTGAAAAACATACTTATGGGGTCACACATGTGGGGAATTAGCTGTATCACACTGCGGGTGGGAGTGGTTGTCAGTAAAATGGCTTTCTTGTGTATATTTTGACAAAAAATGTTTTTTAAGTGACACAGTGAGGAAGCTGCAGCAGGTTCTAAATGGAGTTGACTACAGTTATCCAGAAAACAACCCTCTCACCCCAGGTCAGTGAAGTGAGGTATTCTATATGGTTTGCCTGTTTCCTCCAATGAAGGCGGAATGGGGTGGCTGTCCCCAGTAATCCCCTCCCCAGGGCGACAGCTGGGAGGCAAATCCTCAGAGGACACGGAGCTCTTCCCTCTTCTCCAGTGCCTGTCTCGGGACCTGGCATCTCCAGCGCGCTTGGCGAACGTGCAATGAACAAAGGCACCATCAGGCTGGGCCCAGCTCAGAGCCAGCTGGGCCCTAAGGACCACCACCGTTCAGGACCTGCCTGGGCCTAGAGATGGGGCAGGGACATGCCAGGCCGCTTGGGGAGGCCCGGCCTTCTAGACAAACCCCGCTTCCCTCTCCCCTGCCCTATCCTGGCCTAGCTACCCACAGGGCCCAACCTGGGGCCACGGGAACCAACCCACCGGCCCTGGGGCAGACTTGCCCCCGTCTCAGCAGCTTCGCCAGCCGCTGGCGGGGAGAATCAGCGAAGCAAACCGCGGTGAACGAGGACACGCACGCGGGAGGTGTTCAGCCAGCTCACCTGCTCGCCTTCCGTCCCCTCTCCCTGTCTTCACCTTCCGGAAGAGCATAGCGACCAGGCCAAGAGCAGCAGGACCACCTGGTCACGGCATCTATGCCACCGCCTCCTCTCCCATGGCTGGGCCAGGCCGCACCCCGCAGGGCCAGGCCCCAGGGAGGTAGCCACTCAAGGGGAGAGAGGCCCTGCTGCAGGCCGGGTGGGGGAGCAGCCCATAAATCAGGCCCCACTCCCACCCAGTCGCTAACAAGCGGGGCTGCCTACCCGCCTACGTGGGGTCCCTGCCTCTGGGCCCCCACAGCGGCCTGGAGCGGCCAGCTGGCCAAGGCCTCCAGAGTGCCTTGGCCTCCGCCCCCACCCGCGGCCCCCAGATAGATAGGGGTATTTTTTTTCTTTTAGGAGAAGAAAAAAATAGACCTAAATGAAGAGAAACACCAACAAAGAAGGAGAGAGGCCTGCAGAGTCACGTGGGGGCAGAGACCAATTGGGCCTCCGGCGCCCCCCCCCAGGGCGGGGAGGAGGAGGACGGACGGACAGGGCCAGCCTACTGTCCGCCCGCCGCCCGCCGTGGCGTGAAGGAGCCTGCGTGTGCCCGCGGTCTCCCTGCCCCACCTGGGCCGCCCGAGCCTCCCCGCGGACGCCCGTGCCCACCGGCCACCCTCGCCCAGCGTGGGAGCTCGCCTTCCGCTCCGTAAGTGAGGGCCTGGGCCCAGGCCTCCGACGTCCAGCCTCCCGTCCTCAGTGCCTCCCCGCGGCCTGGGCCGGCCGCTGCCCGCTCTCTGGAGTGACCTATGCCCGCTGCTCTGGCAGGGAAGGGGCCAAAGATATCCCCAGACCTGCCCTCCCACCACGCTGCCCCCTATTTTCCCCTGCGTGGCTGACGGGAGGAGCCAGGCCTAGGGGGCCAGGCCCCGTGGGGGTCTGCGGGTGCCCCAGTGTCTGCTGTGGCGGCTGTTCACAGGGCTGTGCTGGCCCGAGCCCGGTGCCCCGGAGGGTTTCCATGCCCCTCCGCCTGTCTGGGTCTCGGGGCGCCCCGGCCGCGTGACTGTGCTGTCCCTGAGTGTCTGCGGATTCTCGTGTTCGCCCCCAGTGTCCATCTGTCAGTCGGGGTTCTGTGGCTGGGCCAGGTCCCAGTCAGCTTCCCTGGGCAGGTGGGTGGGGGGCTCTGACCCCGGCCTGCTAAGCTGCATGGGGAATGTGAGGGGAGGGTGCAGTGGAGTCCAGAGGGCCAACCCCAAGTTCCCCGACCTGGGATAGGGGAACCCCTGGGGAAGAGGGGAGGGGAAGGAGGGAGAAGGGTTGAACCTGTGCAGAGCCCAGCCCCCACCGCCCCTGGGCCCCCCCACTTGTGCTTACACTGCCTGGTCTTTCTCAATAACATCCAGCTGACCGCGGTGGGCTCCATCCTGCAGGAGTAAACTGGGGAGCACCAGCCCTGTGCTCCCCTCTAGCCCCCTGCACTCCCCTGCAGAGGTGGTGGCGCTCCAGTGGGCCACTTTCTGAGGGCTCCTCCCTGACCGGGAGCTTTCAGAGGCTCCTCCCTACCTCTGGAAGATGCTGTTGTTTCTTGGGGCTTGTGGTCTGGGGGGGTCTGCAACTAATTCAGCGCTGGCTCTCTCCCCTCCCTGCTCACCAAGATCCATGCATGGAATCTCGCGGATCGGCAGAACCCCCTCCGCAGGACCTGTCTCTCCATTCTGTCCGTGGACACCCTTAGACTCTGAGAGGGCAAGCGGTCTGGGGGGCGGGTGCACAGCGAGTCTGCCCCAGCCCCGCCCTCCAGCGCGGTGAGCCAGGTGAGGGTGTCTGTGCGCGGGTGTCCCGGCCTCGCCGCGGGACCTGCGCCCCAGAAGCAGGAGGACGGTGGGCAGGAGGCCCGGGCAAAGCCGCTGTGCCGCCAGCCCAGCCTTCAGACCCGGGCAGAGGGTCGCGGTGGGATTTCTCAGCTTGAAGGTTGCAGCTTGGGGGCACCTGTCAAGGCTTTCTAGGACCCTAGGTGTTCAGGGGGCGGGGCAGGGCGCAGGTAGGTCCCGTGGGCCCCGTCTGTTCTCCCGCCAGGGTATTTTTTAACTTATTTCTGCATACAAGAGGCAGGGGGGGCGTGAGAGGACTCACCAGAGACAGAGTGGGGAACAGAACAGGCAGAGTGAGGGGAGCAGCGGGCGAGGCAGGAGAGGGCTGCTGCGCCATGTGGGTAGCTCCCTGACCGGCCGGGGATCGAACTCGTGCTGCAGAGGCTGCGGACAGCATCATAGTGCGGTGCTTAACCCCTGCGCCACCAGGGAGGCCCCAGCCAGGGTATTTTCTTCTGGAATATGAGCGACCCGATAGACGATCCCCCAGCGATTACTCAGCCCGGCCCGTCCTGCCCCGGGGCCCTTTGTCCTCGAGGCTGCCCCGTTCCTTTTCTCCCGCCCGCCCTGCCGGGTCAGAACGCGGCTCGCCGGGCGGTGCGTCTCCTGTCCCGGCTGCTCCCCAGCTCCCGCGCCCGCGCCTCGGCGGCTTCGGGTCCTCAGCAGACCCGGGAAGCTCAGGGGTGGGACTTGCAGGGTGGCTTCACCTCGACTCCCACTTGCAGCGCAGCAAACTGAGGCTCCGGCCTTGCCGCCCGCGCCGTGGCTCGCTTCTGCCGGGGCGCGCTCTGCGCTGCCGGCACCACCTCGGTTCATCCGCACGAAAGTCCTTGAGGAAATTCAGTCACCACCCCCATTTCACAGATGAGGAGCTCGAGGACCGGAGCAGGGAGACTGGCCTCGGTCTCCAGGGAGGAGACGTGGCGGGGCCCGGGTAAGAACCCGGCTCCCCGCCGTGGACCCGCACCCGCGGGGTTCGCCTTTTCCCGCTTCCACGCGGCGACCGGCCGCTCGCCCTCCCCGCGGGGCTGGGTTTGCGCCCGGGGCCCGCGCCCCGCGCCGCAGGAGGACGGCCGGAGGCCCCAGGCGCCCGCACCTGCTGGGATCCGGGGCCCCGCTGGCGGCGGTCGGGGCGAGCGCGCGGGGACGCGGCGGCCAGGTGTGGGGCGGGCGCGGCGGGGCGGCGGGGCGGCGGGAGGGCGCGGCCGGCCTCCGCCCCCGGATACCGCACGCGCGGATATAGCGGCGCCGCGTCCCGGCCCCGGCGCGGGGTTCGCCAGCGCGCGCAGCGGCGGAGGGCCGGGTCCCAGGTGCGCCCGGCGCGGCCCTGGAGGCGGCGGGCGGCGGGAGGCGGGGGCGTGGGGGGGAGCGCCGGGGCCCCGCGCCCCTCCCCCCCGCCCGAGCGGCCGTCATCGCGGCGGCGGCGCTGCGCCGGGGCGCTCTCGGCGGCGGCGGCGCGGCCGGGAGGTGCGGGGCTCCGCGCGCGCGGGACGCGGGCGCTGCTGCTCCAGGAGCCGCCAGGTGGGCGCCGGCCGGCCCGCCCTCCCCGCGCCCCCCGCGCCCCGGCCGGCTCCGCGCCGTCCTCCGAACTTGGACTCTCCGCCCGAGGCCGCCCCCGGCCCGCGAGGTCTCCGCGCCCGCCCTGCCCGCCGCGCCGCGCGCCTCTCGCCCGACGGGGCCCTCGGGGCGCTGCGCGGTGCCGTCGCCGCGCGGCTTTGTCTCCCCGGCGCGGCCCGGCGGCCGCGGGCCCCGGCCTCCCTCCGCGCGCGACGCCGCGCCTCTCCCCGCGCCGGCCCCGTCCCGGCCGCGTCCTCGGACGCCCTGCCCGGCCCGTCCTCGAGCTCGGGGCCCGGCCCGCCGGGGCGCGCCCTCCCGCCTGCCCGCCCGCCCGCCTCCCGCGCAGCCCGGGGCTCCCCGGGTCCCGCCTCTGCGCCCCGCGGGCCTCGCGTCTCCGCGCCTGGTCGCCGCCGGGTCTCCGCGTCCGCCTGTCGGGTTTTCTCCGCGCCCGTCTCCCGGCGTCCCTGGCTCGCTCCCCTCCGGCCGCTTCCCTCGCCTCGTCTCCCTCCGTCTCGCGCCTCCCCGGGCTGCGTCCCCGGCTCTCGGGCTCTCGTCGTCTCGCCGGGAGGCCTCTCCGGGGGCCGCGTCGGGCGGGGTCTCGCTCCGTCCCCGCGTCTCCGTCTCGGCCCCGGGGCTGGCGGGCGCGCGGCTCTCGGGCCCCTGGCCCGGGTCGCCGGCGCCTCCCGGGCGGCCAAGCGCGTCTCCTTTTCTCAGAACCCGGGTTTTGTTCTCAGACGAACGAAGCCGGATCAAGGCGCATCGAATCCGAGGGTCCCGGATCCGGCGCGGCGGGGGCCGTGCGCCCGCGGAGGGGCGGGGGGCTCGGGGAGCGGCCGCGCGGGCGCGGGGTGCGTGGAGGCCCTCGGCGGGCTGCGCCCCGCACATCCCCGCGCGGGCGCCGGGTGCTCAACGCCCGGCCGCCTCCGGGCCCCGATCGGGGCGCTGCCATGGGGCGCCCGGCCCGGCCCCTCAGCAGGGCACGGCGGGGGCGCGCGGCTGGGGGTGCCGGGCCCCGGGCCCCGGTCGAGGCGCCGCCGGGCGCGGTGCCGCGCGGTGACCCGCTCCCCCCTCGGCAGGCGGACGCCGCGGGCATGGACTATTCGTACGACGAGGACCTGGACGAGCTGTGCCCGGTGTGCGGGGACAAGGTGTCCGGCTACCACTATGGGCTGCTCACGTGCGAGAGCTGCAAGGTGAGCGCGGCGGGCGGCCCGGGCTTCCCGCTCGGAGCGCGCGCGGGCGGGCGGGCGGCCGGGGCCGAGCGGGGGGCGCCGCGCGCGGGAAGACGGACCCTGCCCGCCTCCCGCGCCAACCCCTCGCCCGCAGGGCTTCTTCAAGCGCACGGTGCAGAACAACAAGCACTACACGTGCACCGAGAGCCAGAGCTGCAAGATCGACAAGACGCAGCGCAAGCGCTGTCCCTTCTGCCGCTTCCAGAAGTGCCTGACCGTGGGGATGCGCCTGGAAGGTGCGCCTCTGCCCTTTGCCCTCTGCCTGCCGGAGCGGGGTTCGGGTGGAAGAAGGGGTGAGGGCACCGCTGGCCTCCTGACAGGGTCTGGGGGCCGGCGATGGGACCTCCCGGGTCTGCGCACCAGAGGGTGAGAGCCGCGGTCCCCCTGGGTTAGGGGGTGGATGCAGGACCTGCCTGGGTTGGGCTGAGCAGTGTCGGAAAGGGAACCCCGCGGGGGTGACCCTCTTCCCAGCGCCTGGGAAGGGGGCGCGGGACAGAGCCCCGCAGAGAGGAAGGAGTTCTGCCCCACGCGCACCCCAGAGGCTCTGCGCCCCCCGTCACAGGCTGGGCATTCCCCGCCGGGCGCGCTCCCTTAGCTCTGCGAGCTGCAGATGCCCCGTCTGAAAAAGGGGCTTCATTAGCCGCGGCGCCGCTCCGGTTGTGAGAGGTTTGCATCAAAAGCTCCTGTTTGGGCGCCCGGCACGAAAATGCGGCACAACAGGTCACCCACTGCCGTCATTATCCACGAGCCTTATGCTCTTATTGTTTGTCCACCTCGCTCTCCAGCCCACCCATCTGGCCGTCTGGCCGTCCATCCAAAGGGCCACTCCGTTTCGGCCCTCGGTGGGTGGGGGTGCCCTTCCCACCCTGCTCTTAGCAGGGTCCTGGAAAGGCCAGGGTGTGGGGGAGCATTCCCCCCAGAGGACCCGCGCCCCAGCCCCGGCGCTCCGTCCAGAGGGGAGGGAAGGCATTGCAGCAGGAAGGCTCAAGCTCTTTGAGGGTGGACAGTCGTAGGCTTCCACCCTGCTGGCCCCAGCGGGCTGTGAGCCGAGCAGGCAGCTGTTGGCCAAAGTTTTTAAATAATGTGAAGGCCCGAGCGGCTCGGAGGGCTGCGGCCCACCCGTCCTGCCCCCTCGAGGAAGGAGTCCCGGGTGGGGAGAGCTCCCGTCCACCCGGGGAGCTCCTGTCCCCAGCCTGCGGTCCTCAGGAGAGCTGGGTGCCATGCGCAGGCCTCGGGGAGCAGAGCTGCCCACCCCGAGGCGGGAAGGTTGGCCGGGAGGGTCCAGAGACACGGCGGGCTGAGCCTGGCCTCTCCCTTCTCCTGGCGCCCCCGTGGGGTCCTGTCTGAGCAGGGCCGGGGCCACGCTGCAGATGCAGACATGCACCTGTTGGGTCCGGCTGGTGACACATTCTTGGCCAAACGGAGGGACATCTGGTCAGCAAGGGAGGCCCCTTCTCCAGCAAGGAGCCCGGGCCAGCCTGAACTCCACGTTCAATGTGAAGGCAGTGGGGGAGGCCGAGTCGTTGCGCAGTAGGGGCTTGACAGAGCCAGGCGGTCAGTCAAGAAGCAGCTGGACTCTGGGGACCCAGCTGTGAGGGAGCCGCTCAGGGCCCACTGCCTGTCACTGTCTCCCTGCCGGGCCGTGCCGGGCACCTGAACCCGTGGCTGTGCCCCCCGGAGCTCTCAGCCGCCTCGCAGGCACCACAGCACTTAGCTTGGTGAGCGGCAAGGACGGTGGAGCCTGCCTGACCGCTTGGAGGTGGCCGCCTCAGGGCTTCGTGTTTGGAAGGCGCGAGAGGGCAAGGGTTTGAGGCAGGAGGACTCTCGGAGGCAGGCGGGGAAGATGGAGAAGTCAGAGCAGAGGAGCAGCGGGCTGGTGAGGTGGCATGGCCAGAGCAGGGTGTCAGGAGGTGAGGCGGACGGGGCCAAGGGCATCCACTGCCTCTGTGGGGCGCGCGCCGGGCAGGGAGTGCCAAGGCCAGCTCTGTCTGGGAAGCTCTGCGAGGGCCCGGAGGCCGGGAGGGCCGAGCCTGACCCCTGCCCCTGCCCACAGCCGTGCGCGCCGACCGCATGCGAGGCGGCCGCAACAAGTTTGGGCCCATGTACAAGCGGGACCGGGCCCTGAAGCAGCAGAAGAAGGCGCAGATCCGAGCCAACGGCTTCAAGCTGGAGACAGGCCCCCCCATGGGGGTGCCGCCGCCCCCGCCCCCCCCGGACTACATGCTGCCTCCCGGCCTGCACGCGCCTGAGCCCAAGGGCCTGGGCTCCGCGCCACCTCCCGGGCCACTGGGCGACTTTGGGGCCCCGGCGCTGCCCATGGCCGTGCCCGGCGCCCACGGGCCCCTGGCTGGCTACCTCTACCCCTCCTTCCCGGCCGCGCCATCAAGTCCGAGTACCCCGAGCCTTATGCCAGCCCCCCGCAGCCCGGGCCCCCCTACGGCTACCCGGAGCCCTTCTCTGGAGGGCCTGGCGTGCCCGAGCTCATCCTGCAGCTGCTGCAGCTGGAGCCGGACGAGGAGCAGGTGCGCGCGCGCATCGTGGGCTGCCTGCAGGAGCCCGCCAAGGGCCGCCCCGACCAGCCCGCGCCCTTCAGCCTGCTGTGCAGGATGGCTGACCAGACCTTCATCTCCATCGTGGACTGGGCACGCAGGTGCATGGTCTTCAAGGAGCTGGAGGTGAGTCCCTCCTCCTGCCCGGCTGGGGGTCAGATCTGGGGTGTGCTCAGCCGCCCAAGCCTGTCTCGGTCACCCCTGGTGTGGGGCTGTCCCGGACACCGGGCTCGGGCATGTCGGGGGGCAGGGAGGCCACACGGGGCACATTGGAGAGTCTCTCCGGTCCATCACAGCCTTTCTGGCCCCCTCCCGCCCGCGGGGTCCCGGCTGCCTCCCCTCGCGTGCATTCCTCACTCCTTCCGTCCCTCTCCTCGGCCTCTCACAGGCTGGGCTCCCTTCACCCCGCCTGTCTCCTGCGGTCTCTCGTGGTCTCTCGCTCCTTGGTGTGTGTCTTTTTGTTCCGGTTTCTCCGGCCTCCCCAGGGCCCTCCCAGTCCCGGTCTCTACAGGCCTTTCTCTTGTCATGACACCCTGGGCTCCCCCAGGGGACTAGCTGGGTTCCTTGAGAGACTGTCTCTGGCTTCCCCAGCCCAGGGTCGGGGAGAGGGGCCGGCCCGGCCTGTCCCCCCAGGTGGAGAGGCGCCCGCTCCCTGCCGGCCTCAACTGTAATGCAGGGCTCTCAGCAGCTCTGAGCGGGGCCGCGGGTGTCAGCGCTGTGGCCTTCTCCCCTGCTGCCCCTGCGCCTCTCAGGCCTGACGGCTGAGCCTCTGTCAGCGTGTGTGTGTGTGTGTGTGTGCGCGCGCGCGCACGTGTGTCTGTGTGTGCATGGGGAGCTCGGTGGGAGGGTAGATGGGGGGCCGCAGGGCCAACCACCCATCCTCCAGACAAGGGAGCCTTCCTCTCTGCCACCAGACATTCCATCCTGGGGTTGAGGTACCCGAGGCAACAAAGGAAGCAGAGAGCAGGGGGAGAAACTGAGGCCAGGCCAGGAAGAACTTTCCAGTCAGCCTGCCTAGTGGTTTGAAGGCCCATGGCCTGCGAGCTGCCTCCCGTGCCCCGACTGCCTTGGTCAGGCTGTTCTGACAACCTCAGGGGTTCCCAAGCCCAGCGAGACCCACCCTCTCTGACCTGGGCATGGGCACCCTTCACTCTGGCGTTCGCCAGCCCCAGGCTAGCCCCCCTGGCTGTTCCGGGCCGGGTGTAATCAGCAGGCCCGTGGCCTCCCCGCTGGGGCCGCTGCAGCCTTGAGCGGCATTGTCGGTGCTGACGCCACTCGGGCCTGGGCTTCCTCCAGGGCATGTGGCCGGATGGGCCGGGGGCACTGCCTGCCTGGACTGCGCATGGGGGTGCTGGGGGATGGGCACTGTGCGCCCCTGGGCTGGGGGTGGCGCCGAGTTGCTCTGGAAGACAAGCATTGGTGGTGATGGCTCCCACATCCGCCGCGGAGGGCCTCGTGGCTGCGCCTGGGGCTGCGCCATGTGCGGGGCATGGGGTGGGTTCTCGTCCCCGGCCCCCTCTCTGGGCTGGTCTCGGGTGAGGCAAGGGGTCCGCACTTGAACCCTCCCGTCTGCCTCCCACTCAAGCTGGAGGTCCCGGTGGGGAAAGGATCCCAGGACCCTCGGGTTGGCTGCCAGTTTCCTCCCCAGACTCCCCAAGAGCCCCGAGCAGTGGGGAGGAGGGGCAGCGAGTTCCTGGTTCCCGAACCCTGGGTCCAGGGGCAGGGCACTTCCTCTGGCCCGCGGCCTGGTCTCTCGGGGTTTTTCACGCAGGATGGGAAGGGCTTTTGTCCCAGCTTTGCTGAGTGTTTTTTCCTGCTTTCACTTCTCTGTGGTCCAAACCTTCCTGCTTCCCCTTCCCTGAGGTTCAGCATCGACCCAGGAATCTGAGCCATGGTCACTGCCCTGTAGTGGAGGCTTGCGGAGAGGCACCAGCCCAGCCCTGAGAGCGTCCTTAGCTGCCAGCAGGAACGTCTTTCCCTCTAGCCAGTGAGCCCTGGGCGAAAGCCAGAGTGGGGAGGCAGCGGCATGGAGGGGTGCTGGGTGACACCCTCCTGTCCCTTGTGGCTGGCCACTCACCCCTCCGTCTCCAGGCAGCACATGCCTCAGCGGAGAGGGGGCTCTCGAGTCTGTGAGCGCCGCCCTTGGGCTGGGCACTGGGCACTGAAATGAATGGGATGCAGGAGGCTGCCCGGCTAGCGGAGGGGAGATGTGGACACAGCTGATGCCGGCGCAAGGGGCCAAGGCCCTGAGAGCACTGGGGAGGGACCAAGGTGACGCAGAGGGGGAGCAAATGGCTAATCTAAGGACGTCAGGGAAGGACTATTTAATCTGCCTTTCCAGAAGGCAGCCCAGGAAGGTTAAGGACTTTCTAGGAAGTGGCGACAGGCCCAGATGTGTGAACAGGCCTCACGCGTCAGGGAATCCAGGGAGTCCTGCAAGCTGGGGCTAGAGAGGTTGGCAGGGTCCGAGCCAGAGCTTGGCTGAGAAGTGGGCAGTGGCGAGGGACAGCCTGCGAGGGTGGCCGGCAAGGCGGGGCTCCCACCAGAGTCTGTGCTCTCCCCAGAGGCTACTCAGCATCTGTGAAGCTGGTGACATCTTGCTGCCAGTGTGACGGCCTGGCTCGTTGCTCCGCTGGCAGGGATTCTGGGAGCCTGGGTATTGGGGCTCCATATGTCCTCTTGGGATGTTCCTCCTCCTTTTCTCCGGCCTGGAGGTCCCTCTAGCTCTGCATTTCCTTCTCACAATCACGGATCGCAGTCACAGACGTTAATAACAAAGACCCGAAGCTGAGGGGCCTGCACCCACATTTCAGATCTGCCACTTACCTACCAGCTGAGTGACTTTGGGCAAGTGACTTTACTCCTCTGAGACTCAGTTTCCTCACTTATAAAATAGTCATTGAAACAATATCCACGTCAGAGGGCTGTTGTCAGGGTTGAGCCAACCAGGCTTTTACTGAGCCAGGGCGGGCATGTAGTGGGAGGCCCAGCTGCCAGTCCCCTGGACAGCCTGCTGCCCCCCGGGCTGCGGACAATGTAATCTGTGAGCCCAGGTGTGTGCAGGCCTGGCTGGAAAAGTGAGGAAAGATACTTTGTATCAGGGTCCCCTGAGCCCAGGGGAATTCTGGGAGAGGGAGGCCCACCTGGCCCTGTGCTAACAAAGCCCCTCTTACCTGCGAGGTAGCAGCAGCTCCCTGTGCCTCTGCTGGGTGGGAGGCAGCGTGTAGGCCAGGCGGGGGCTGCCCCTCCCCTGAAGGACAGGCCGCGAGGCTGCAAGATAGGAATCAGGGAGGAGAGACAGGGGCCAAGAGGGCCCCGTAACCCATCTTGATATCAGGGCGACCCTCCATGGGCAGCTCCGAGGCCCTGGGCTGGCAACAGAGTTAACCGCTCAGATATATGGGTTCATTTAAGCGGCAGTAACTGTCAGTCGCAGGCTGACAAACGGCGGCCGCTGACCGCTTGGCCGGGAGGGCCCCGGGGAGCCGAGCCCGCCAGCCGCCGGAGCGTTGCAGAGCCGCCGGCCTTCACCGCCAGCCCGTGGACCCCGGGGGGCTCTGCGGGGTCCTGCAGGGAGGGAGGTCAGCTCGGAGCCCATAAATACCCCGTCTCCGAGGCAGGCCGCAGAGTGTCAAGGCTCCGGGAAGATTTGTGGCAGGAGGGCCGGGCGGCCGGGGCACTGGCCGAGCAGACGGGCTGGGACGAGGGCCCCGGGCCCTGTGCCGCCGTGTCCTTGCTCCCGGGGCGGTAGAGAGGCCTGAGGGTCGAGGGGGAGACGTTTGCCTCCCGAGAAACCTGGGAAGGTGAAAACCAACGCTCTTTGGTAAAGTGAGCCGGCCTCTTAGCCACCTGCTTTCCATGGAGAGGGCTGGCGGCTCCCGCCTCTGGTTTTCTTTTAAATGAAAAGGGAAGAGAGAGAGAGAGAGAGAGAGAGAGAGAGAGAGTGTGTGTGCGCGTGCGCCTGCGTGCGCTGTTGTGGAGTTTGGTGTCTACGTGTCCATCTGTCCGTGCAGGGGAAAGGTGAGTCACAAATCTGGTAGGAAAGGTTGCCCTACGGGGGGCAGGTGAGGCCGCCGGGGCAGGGGCAGCATGGCTGGGAGAACCAACCACCAGGCCCCAGAACCTTCCATTCCTCACGCAGCGTGCGCCTATGTTTTCTCTACCCAGAGAGGGAGGATTTGTTTCCCCATTTCTCAGAACAGGAAATGAGGGCAGAGGAGGATGTGCGGCTGAGCTGGGAGAGAAACAAAAGGCACAGGCCGCCCGAGCTCGGCCGCCATGTTGCCCCTCCGCCCTGGCCACCCCTATCCTATCCGCCCTGCTGGGCAGGGCTGCCCCCGCTCCCAGGGTCTGAGGCCTGGGGACAGAGTCTGCTTCCAGGGCTTGGCCTGCGGGTCACTGTGACCCCTGCTGCTTTCTGCCTGAAACTCGGCCTGCTTATCTCTTAATTCTCCCCCTTATCGCTCCCTCTTCCACCCCCCCACCCCCTGTTCCTTCAATCTGGCACAAGGGTGTCTGCTCCGAGGGCCTCGTGGGGTGTGGGGCAGAGCCCAGTGCTGCATGTCTTCCTCCTCTACCCCAGCCGGGGGGCCGGGGGGCCAGTGTCACTCACCCGGCAGGCCCCTTCTACCTGGGCCTCGGGAGCCCAAGGTCCCCAGAAGACGGGTGCAGTTGGGGCATCTGGGAGACGCCCACTCCTGCGTGCCCCCTGAGGAGAGCCTCTGTTCCTGGAGCATGGCCGGGTCACAGGGCAGGGGTGAGGAGCCCCGGGCTGCTGGGCTGGGCCTGGTCGTCAGGGCTCTCTGGACCTCCCTTCCTACTTGGAACCTGTGGTGGGGAGGCCTCTTTGACCACTTCCTGAGGAGAGATAGGGAGCGGCCTCCGGGATTCACCCCTGCCCTGGTTCTCACTCTCTCCTGGCCACTCCCTCCAGGGCTAGCAGGTCCTCGGGCCCCCTGGCTGGGCTTCCTGTCCTGGCATTGATGGGGTTGTGGCGGGGAGATGGACGGCCTGCGGCCTAGAGTAGGACAGAGACAGATCTTCCCTCTGTAGACTGGCGAGAGGGGGGCCTGAAGGGACCCTGACTTTGTCTGCAGCTGCTCACTTTTCTCTTTGTCCACTTTCTCCTCTCCCTCCATCTGCCTGAGGATAGGCCTCCCCTGGGGTGCTCCTAGCCCAGGAGGGGTCAGAGGAGAGGAGGGGCTTCTACTCCTGAGATGAGAGCTGCTCGTTAGGCCTAGGCCAGTTCAGACGGGGCGGCCTGGGCTCCTGGGAAGCACAACTTGCTCATCAACGACCCACTGACCTCTGCTCTGGGGATCCAAAAATGAGCAGGTGACCAGTCTTGCCTTTCCAGGCGCCACAGGTATTGGGGGAGACAGAGGCATGAGTTAATCAGGTCATGCAGGTGCCCTGTGCAGAGGATGGTGAGGGCACCAAGGGAGGAGGGGGGATCTGGGTGGGCTTCAAGAGGGAAGCGACAAGCCTGCCTGAGTGGCAAAAGTGGATCTTCGTCTATACCTGGTGGTTAAAAGCTCAGATCTGGAGCCAGACAGAGCTGTGTGACCTTGGGCAACTTTCTCGACCTATCTGGGCTCTCCATGGATTGGGGCTAACAGCCGTACCAACTTCTCAGGGCTGTGGAACCGCTGTGCAATGCTGCTAGCTGGCTTGGTTTGCAGAGGTTGCAGGGCCCAGCCCAGGGAGTCGGCTGATGAGCCACAGAGGCTGAGAGGGACTGAGCCTGTACTGTGCCCTCCTAGCTTGCCCTATAACACCCCGTGAGGTTCTGAGCACCCGGAGGGCTCTGTGTGTGTCACTGAGAATGCCAGACGCCGTCCTGCCCTGACTGGCTCTGTGTGTTCCCGGGAGAGGCCCTCGGCCTCCCTGAGTGTCAGAGTCTTCATCTATACCCTGGAGATTTAGGCCAGAGGAGTCCCAGAGGGCTCTTCTGGCTCTTGGCATCCTACAGTCCCGAGTCCCTCAAATGTCCACTGCCATTGCCATGGGTCCCCCAAAGTGGGAGGGACGGGCCCCGTCTGAGCACTGAGTGCCCCCAGCTGTAGCCTGGGTGTTCGGCACCCCCCTGGGGCTCTTCTGTTCTGCTGCCAACAGCAAACCATTGCTCTCCCCTGCTCACTGCCTGGGCGGGACGGGGGGCCTCGCTCCCCCCGAGCCTGAGAGCTCTACAGAAGGTCCAGGGGAGCCCTCTCTTTTCCCTCCAGGGCTCATTTTTGAGCAATTTAGGCTGCTGGCCATGTGACCACCGCCCAGTGGGCACAAGATGAAAATTAATACCACTCCCTGCCATGTTGCCGGGACCCTTCCCAAAGCACTTCCAGGGACGTTCCGGAGTCACATTTATCGAATGCCTAATATGTGCCAAACCAGGTTCTAATGCTCAGCCCACTTTGCAGATGAGAAAACTGAGCCGCAGGAAGGTTCTAGACCTCACGTGGGGCCGTGCGGCTCAGCAGCAGAGCTGGTCCTGAGGCCCCAGGTCCGCTCTGATGAAGTTGGCGGGGACCCTGGCAGGGAACCTCAGCGCTGAGAGCTGGGAGGACCCCGTGCTCCTGTCCCTTGCAGGTGGCCGACCAGATGACCCTGCTGCAGAGCTGCTGGAGCGAGCTGCTGGTGTTCGACCACATCTACCGCCAGATCCAGCACGGCAAGGAGAGCAGCATCCTGCTGGTCACCGGGCAGGAGGTGACCGGGCCTGCCTGTGCTGCCCCTCCCCCCTGCACCCTCCAGAAGGGTCCAGGCTTTTCCGGGGCTGACCCTAGGCACCCCAGATATCGGCCCTTTCCCCAATTTCATGGGATGCCCACTGGCCTGACCCCGCTCTGTCCAGCCTTGGCCCTGGCTGTGAGAAGAGCCGGGCCCTGGGAGCCCCGCTCTGGGTGAAGCAGCTCGGGGGTGTGGGCGGGGGTGGGGAGCACTGGGAGGTCACGCTGGGTCCTGGAGGAATACACAGGGGCTGGTCAGGAAGTGAAAGGCCGTGGGGGCAGAGGGCAGAGCAGGGCAAGACTCAGGGAGGGCAGTTTAGGACGGCTGTGTATGTGGGATTTGGGGAGCAGGTGTCCTGTGGGGTGTGAGGTGAGGGATAAGGCTGGATCCAGGGCCTGCTAGGAGCTGGGTTGGGCAGGACCTTGCCAGCCTTCAATCATGAACAAATGAATGAGTGAATGGATGAACAAACAGGGCTTCTGGGCCCCAAAGCTCAAAGTCAGATTTTGGGTCCCCTTAGGTCAGGGAACATCCCTCTAGGGTGGGAGCCTTGGGCTCCCTGAAATGCCACAGGCATCCACAGGAGAGATTCTAGGGGAGGAACATGATCAGGTTGCATTTGAACAAGCACATGGTTGGGGCAAAGAGGCAGGGAAGGAGGGCCTGGAGGCTGCGCCCCCTGCTCAGTGTTGGGATGCTGGGGGGTGCACTTTCAAGGAGGACCCCCAAGTGGTAAGAGCAGGTGCAGGGGAAATGGAGGAAAGGGAGAAAGCAGAGAAGGGGGGGCTGGCCTGGGTGGGGGACAGCGGAGGAGGAGGGGCCTGACCCGCGCTGTGGGTGTGGGGGGAGAGGCCGAGGTGCTGCTGCCATCCCCTGCTGCCACCCCAGCAGCTTCTTCCTCCTCCCTTCTCAACCCTGGGTGTCGCAGGCTCCCGGGGCCAGGGGACTGCTGAGGCCATCTGGGAGCAGAGGGCAGGTGTGAGGTGTGCGTGTGTTTGGGCTGGCCCGGGTCAGCCACGGGCGTGCTGCGTGCACGTGTGTCTGCCTGCGTGTTATCGTGAGTGTGTGGGTGTTGGGACCTGCCTGTCACATGTGGACATGAGCACACGCGGGTGTTACCCGGTGATGCGACCTCACCGTGTGTGTGTGTGTGTGTACACGCGCGTGCACACGCGTGACAACCTGCAAGTGCGCTGTGTGTGTGTGAAGGTGCACCGAGGTGTGGCCACGTGCCCAGCCCAGTGTCCACGAGTGGGGCTCTGAGCAGGCCCGTGGCCAAGTGCACGTGTGTCGGGCAGGCCCCGGGCCCCACAGCCTGCCCGCTGCCGGGCTGGCTGCAGACACCCCACGAAACGAAGCCCTTTTGTGCCACTGGGTCTGTGGGCGGCCGTGTGTGTGTGAAGGAGCCTCCCGCCTTCCTCTGCGCCCACCTGTCCCACTGGCTCTGCAGCTTCTGGGCCCTCAGCTCCGGACCGGGCACCGAGGATTGCTGGGGCCGCTGTGCCCTCAGTTTCGGGAATGGGAGGGCCTCTGGGGGGGCCTCTGGGGTGGGTCAGCTCCTGGACAGGTGCCTCCGGTCCCTACCGCCCCTGGCCCCGATCAGAACCCCTTGCCGCGTCCTGGCCGCCGCCAGCCCTCTGACCCTGCGCTCCGCCCGCCAGGTGGAGCTGACCACGGTGGCCGCGCAGGCGGGCTCCCTGCTGCACAGCCTGGTGCTGCGGGCGCAGGAGCTGGTGCTGCAGCTGCACGCGCTGCAGCTGGACCGCCAGGAGTTCGTCTGCCTCAAGTTCCTCATCCTCTTCAGCCTCGGTGAGTGGCCGTGGGCCTGGCCCGCCGGGTGGCCGGGGCGGCGTGGGGCGTGGGCGCTCCTGGGGAGGCCAAGCCGGGCTCTGCGGGAGGAGCGGTTGTCGGGGCCGGGCCCCCCTCAGGGTGTGAGGGACCTGGCCCAGGGCCTGGCGTCTAAAATGGGGGCTGCTCCCTCTCTGGGCTTGTTTCTCCGTGGCCAAGATAAAGCCTTAGGCTTGCGGGTTACCGGACAGGGACCCCGCGGAGGCGCCGGTAAATTCCTGGCGGGCAGCCCTGGAAAAGTGCCCGAGGCACCGCCACAGCAGGCCCGTGACTTCAGGAGCTCTTGTTCCCCGGCCCCCACCGTGTTCCCTAAGTTCCTGCTCTGAGGGTCCGAATTCTGACGCTGAGAAATGTGGGAGCTCAGACCCCGTTATCCCAGTCCCTCTCTCCCTCGTTCCTTCATTCTGCCTTTGCCGAGCCTCTGCCGTGTGGAGGCGCTGGGAGCCCCCAGGCCCCGTCTTCACCAGTCGGCCTCCTCTTGGGGAATGGATGAGCCCTAGGGGCAGCCAGTTAGGAGCTGGGGCCCGAGGCTCTTGGAGGAGCCTCAGGACCCCGGCCAGGCCGCCGCCTGCTGGGGGACGCCCCTACTTCCCTTGCTTGTGACCTCGTCTTGGAGAGCCGAGGGGCTCCGGGAGGCGGCTCGGGCCAGAGTCCTGGGTGTGAGCTGCTGGGATGTGGTGACCAGGAGTTGCGTGTTTGTGCCTTTGTGTCGTGTGTCTGTTTGCACTCACGCGTGTGCCTGTGTGTGCAGGCTGCGGATTTCTACGGGGTTGTTAATTTTTACGTCTGAACACTGAGGGGCGATGGGGAGACGTGAAGACACGAGGGGCTTGGAGGGGAGCGTGGTGCTTGGAGGCACATAGATTGGCGTGTGGGGTCAGTGGGGGTCTGGGCGGTTTGTAGGTGATGGTTCTGACCTGCCCACCATCACCAGGCCTCCAGGGAGGCCCTGTGGGGGTGGGGTAGAGGGTGGGTAGCCAGTCACATCTCCCTGGCCAGGGCTCCCTCTGTCCTTGGGTGCCCCCTGCAGAGCAGGACCCTGTCCTGGTTTTCCAGACCACTGGGGCCTGAGACACACGTCCTGCAGCCCCGTCCCCTCTGCCACCAAAACCCCGGGCACCAGAGACCGCCAGGCCCTGCAGTGCTGGCCTCCGCCACGCGATCCCCGGGGACTCCTCCTTCTACGGGGCATGGGGGGGGAGCAGAGCTGGGCCAGGCACGTGACTGGGCTCAGACCCACCCTCCCGTGGCCCAGAGTCTGGGGCTGTCTGCGGTGCTTGGCTGGCATGGGCTGGGAGGAGAGAGGGAGGGATAAGAGTGTGTAGACGTGCACACGCATGTGCGAGGCGATGTGCAAGAGTGGGTGGTGGGGGGATGGTGAGGAATGGGCTGTTTGTGAGGTTAGTGGAGAGCCAGGATTCTAAACCTAAACTCCCTCTGGCATGTGCCACTGCGCATGTCCACCCCTTCTTCGAGCCTCTACTTCCCCATCTGCACATAAGGACCGTAATAATCCTTTGCTGGCAAGAGTCCATGAGAGAATTCCCCAGATGCCCACATGTGGCCTCAGGATGTGCGTCGGGGCTGTTCTGAGCATCACCATCATTGTGAAAGTGAGTGCACCGATGACCGAGCACGAAGGAAGTGGCTGAATGGCGGGGTCAGGCTCCATCTGTATCGCCTGATGCGTGTCCGGCACAGTGCCTGGTTTCGTGGGCAGGGACATGGGTCAGGCTGAGGGGGGTGTTCTGGAGAGGAGATATCAAGTCTACCTAGGATACTGGGCTGGGCTTCTTGGAGGAGGGGCCTCTGAGCTGGGCCTTGTAGTATGAGTAGGAGTGTTCTGGGTGAAACAAAGCAGGCTGCAGTCAGAGCATTCCAGATGGAAGGAGCGGTTAGTACCAAAGTCTGGGGAATTCTGGCTGGTTGTGGCCGCAGGCCAGGGGGAGCTGAGGAGGAGGTGGAGCAGGCTGGGACTGAGCTCTGCGAAGTCTTGAGTGCTGGGCCAAGCACCTTGAACCTGGCCCTGGGAAGGATTTGAAGCTGGAGGAACCTGATCAAATTTGCGTTTATTTTAGCAAGGTCCTTTCACTTCAGGCATGGATGGAGGTGGCAGCCCAGACCTCTGTAAGAGGCTGGGCCCTGGGCTGGGGTGCACTGGGCCAATTTGGGCAGAATGAGGGAGAAGCTTTGCCCGGAGTCTGGAAGAGGGTCGGGAGGCCCCTCTCCCTATGCACCCGGAGCACTGGTCTGCAAGGGAACCTGGCTCCGGGAGAGGGAGGGCCCAAGACCCCAAGACCTCTAGTTGGCACCCTGGGCGTCACTCCCGGGTTGGCGCTTCCCTGGCTGGGCGGCCGTCTCCTGTGATCCCCCCACCGCCTCCTGTCCACTCAGCGCCTCCTTCTCGCCTGCCTCTGCAGAAGGGTACCATTTGGTGTCTAAATAGCCAGTTCAGACAGGCGTGGAGGCAGGTAAGGAGGTTTAATTAAAATTAGTGCCTCTCTCCTGGCAATCGTGGTGTTTATGAAGATGGGCCCGGCTGGCATTGTTCTGCAGAGGACTTAATCGAAGCTTAATGGATTGACCTAACATTCGATTTCCTGACTTCCATTGAGGCGGCGGCAGCAGCATTCCCTTAAGCGTTTGCAATTTACCCACTGCTCTGAGCCAACAAAAGGCGGCCTGAATAGCAGCCCCACTCGAGGGGCCATTGTGCGCGGGGGCGCCTGCCTGAGTCACCGCTATTGGGACAACATTCTTTATGCCTCGCTGGAATGAAAGGATTATTCAAATATTCAATTAAACCGTGAAAAGGGGGCTTTTCTGAGAGCCTGCAGGGCCCCCAGCTCGGCAGAGCTAGCAGGCGGCTCTCCATCGTCGTGGGGGTGTCTTCTCCCAGCCCCCTCCCACCTCCAGGATTGCTGGGAACCGAGCAGGCTTGGGGGGTCTATGAGGCTCATCTCCCACACGCCTGTGTCTAGACTTCTGCACTTCAGGCCCAGAGCTGACACCAAGCAGGTCTGGTTCTTGGACACCCTGGAAGCGGAGACTCACCTGTACCTATTTAGCAGATAACAGGAGACTGAGGCTCGGAGAGGAGAAGGGACTTACCCAAGGTCATCCAGCTGCTGGATGCCGGCGTCTGAAGCCCTGACACGTGAGGGCTGTCTGGTTTGTGCGACCCCGGCTCTGTGTCGGGTGGGCGGTGGGCTGTTGGCTTGGCCGTATCTGTCAGCCCACAGCATCTCCGTCTGTCTCATAAGATCAGTCAAGGGGCAGGGCTTGTCCTTGGTCTCCTCCAAAGTGAGGAAGAAGTCACATCTGGCTCCAGATACACTCTCTGGGGAATCCTGGGCCCCCAGGGTTGAGGGCCCTAGGAATGGACTCCTGGATTGGGTGAACTTGAAGGTGTCATGTCCAGTTCCCCAGGAACCTGAGTGCATATTTGACCCCACCCCTGTTTGCCCACAGGCATGTGGAGCCAGAGAGACCTGGATTTAAATCCAGACATGGGCATCTGCTGTGTTCCTGGGCACACCCCACATCCACGTGCACCCTCTGACCTTCCTGGGCGTCTATTGGGAACACCTGAGCTGGTTCCAGGGTTCCAGGGGCCCAGGACACTGGGTTGCCAGTCATGTGCTGGAGCCCCTGGGGTACAAGCGGTGCCTGTGCTTCCTTTCCCAGTCCTGTAGCCCACCTCATTGGGACAGTGGGGGTCCCCAGCCCACAGAGGGCTGAGGGACCCATAGAACTGCCCCGAGGGGGGCTGTCCCTGAGAGCTGTCCTTGTTCTGCTCCCACACCTTGCACTCCGCTGTCCCTGGCACTGTGCTGCTGAGGACAGTAAATCCTGGTAAAGCCTGATCCTCCCCAGCTCCCCCTCTTCTGCCGCTCCTGCCCCGACTGCAGCATCCCAGTCCAGTCCCCCTCCCACTCCAGCTGTTTTCTCAGGTCCCTCTACCGCTGTGTGGCCTTGAGCTGGTCTCTCCCCTTCTCTGGACCCTCAGCCTCCTATTGGGAATTGTTAGAAAACAATGCCAAGAGAATTGCCCAACCCAGGGAGGGTGAGGGAGCAGGAGAGGTGAAGAGAAGACAAAATTGGGGTAGGGCCAGCAGGCAACTTGCTCCGTGGAGGTCAGTGAGGTGGGAGCAGTCAGCAGGGGGACTTCCCATGACCTTTGAGTGTGTCTGGAGCAGGCGGGGCTAGAGAGCAGGTCTGCTGTGTACAGTCGGGCAGGTTGCTCACTGCACAAAGGCACCGAGGCAGGGGATTGGTCAGGGTGAAATCCAGCTTGTATGCCCTCTGCCAAGTCTCTCTGAGAACTTTCTAATTGGCACAAAGGTGCCTTGTGGCGCTCCTGGGAGGTGAGGAAGAAAATGGCCAGGCCCACTTACTGACGGGAAGTGAGGGGGCCAGCGGTAGGGGTGGAGGATCAGGTCAGGTCTTGCCATATGCCTTGGGCCCAGCTCAGGTTTCCCTAAATCCGACTTGGGACAACACAGGCCTTGGTGGGTGCGCTGGGGGCGGCTGGGGATCAGGGTTGCCAGGAGCATCAAGCCTTCCTGGCGCAGTGGGTGTTAAGAAGGATTAAAGGGCCAAGCGCTGCACATGTCGGCTCCACTGACTCCCCCGCAGCAGCAGGGCCGGGGTGATGGGGGCAGAAGCCAAGGGCATGGACAACCATTTTCTGAGCCGCTGGACACCATATCCCAGGCAAGACTGTGCAGGGATTTGGGGAGCGGGGACAAAGCCTGTGGGTTCCTGCTGACCCTTGGGCCCTGGGCAGGCACCAGCTGGAGAAGCTGCCCAGGAGCTGAAGGAGGCGCGTGAGCAGAAGGAGAACGTCACCCTCCCTGGGCACCCCCCTTTCCTGGAGGAAGAGGGCCTTGTCAGGGCGGGGCGGAGCAAGGCCGTGGCTCCTGAATGGGGGGCTGGATTTGAACCCCCTTCAGCCCCAACTGTTTGTGTCTTCCCTGGACCCCTGTGGGGGGAGGCATTCTTCACCCGCCCGCACCAAAGATCCGGGGTGGCCCTGATGGCCCGGCCCCCCGCGCGGCTGCTTCCCGCACACCGAGCGCCCCGAGCGCGTTCTCAGGAGCGTCTGGGTCATGGAGCTGCGACTCGCCGTCGGTCTCTCTCGGATCTTCCTTTTCTGGTTTTTGTTTTGTGCACTCAGCCCGCGCCTTGAGAGACCCCGTGCGCTCGGTGCTCCAGCTGCGCCTCCCTCTGTCTGCAGCGCAGGCCTCCCGCGGCCGCCTCGCCCAGCCAGACCCCCCTCGGCCTCCCGCGGGCCCAGCTGTGCCCCTCCAGGCGGCGAGGGCCCGTCCCCCGCGGCCGCCCGGCGCCGAGCTCGTGAGGGCACAGTGGCCGCTGCAGCAGGGGCGCGGCTGGCCCTGAGCGGCGCGGGGGGCCACTGCGGGGGTCTTGGCCGTGGGGCCGGGGCCGGGCCTGGGCGAGACAGGAGCCCTTGGCCGTCTCGGCCGGGCTCTGAGCCTCCCCGAGGGCCGGTGGCTGCTCCTCTGCCTCCCGCCGCGTGTCCACTCTGAGGCTCGCAGCAGCCTGGGACGGGGGGCTGCGCCCCGGCTCCCCCGAGAGAGGAGCAGCCTGGTGAGGCGGGGCTGCGGGCGGGTGCCATGGCGACCCGGTGGGCGACGGTTGGGGCGCCCACGGCGGTGACAGGTGCCCGTGCCCGCGCGGCCGACGGCGGGACGTTGGCGCTGGTGGCGGCTGAGGGTGCGGGTGACCTGCTGGCTGGGGCGGCGTCCCCCAGGGTGATGACCCAACAGGGGTGACAGGCGTGCCCTTGGTTGGCTTGTTGGTGGCAGCAGCGGCCACATCCGGGGAAAACAGGGCTGTCCGCGTGGGAGACAGACCCGGGGGTCTCCCTCGGCCGCGGGAGGGTGCCGTGCGGGGAGGGAGGGCGCGGCTGGGGTGTGGGTGGGTGGCAGCTCTCAGGACTCCAGTGCCCACCGGGACGGGGTGCCCGTGAAGGTGGGGGGCCGGGGAGGGGCGGGCTCCAACCGTGCGCCCCCTTTGCAGATGTGAAGTTCCTGAACAACCACGGCCTGGTGAAGGACGCGCAGGAGAAGGCCAACGCCGCGCTGCTCGACTACACCCTGTGCCACTACCCGCACTGCGGGGACAAGTTCCAGCAGCTGCTGCTGTGCCTGGTGGAGGTGCGGGCGCTGAGCATGCAGGCCAAGGAGTACCTGTACCACAAGCACCTGGGCAACGAGATGCCCCGCAACAACCTGCTCATCGAGATGCTCCAAGCCAAGCAGACTTGAGCCTGGCGGAGGGCGGAGAGGGCGGCCGGGCGGGGAGGGGCCGCGGCGCAGCCACCCGGGCCCTCCAGAGGGTTTATTTCATGACGCTGCCCCGGGAGCCCCACCCCACAGGCCCCTGCCCCCAGCTCGGAAGCCCTGTGTTCGGGAAGGCGGGTGTGGGTGGGCAGGGCCTGGTGGAGGGGTGGGCCCTGCTCATCACAGCCTCCTGCCTGCCACGTGGAGCGCCCCAAGGAGGTGATGCTGATCACCCCCTCCTCCCCCTGCTCCCAGCTGTCTGTCCTGGAGTCTGGTGTGCAGGCCCAGGGGGGAGGTTTGGGGTTCCCTGTGGGTACCGCTGTGGCCCTTGGGTCAGAGGTCATTCCTTCTCCTCCTGCAAACAGAGGCAGAGAGAGGTTATGCGGGGGTCAACGGGGGGAGAAGTGGGGGTCTCCAGAGCCTCCCACAGACACCAGGAGGGCAGCCCTCTGTTTTGTGAACTGGGGTCAGCAAAATTGGGCAGGCTGGTCAGGCCCTAGAGGACCCTGGGAGACTGCGTAGGACAAGAAGCCCTCCTCCCCGGCTCTCTACCCCCTCCCCGACTTCTGCAGGGGAAACTTTGCCATGGGGCCTGGAAGAACAGCTCCAATCGCCTTTCTCGCCTTCTCTCTCCAGAGGAGTGGCTGGCACAGTCAGCATTCTTGCCCCGCCCCAAGTGGCCCGCCACGCTGGTATTCACCTGCCTTTTTGTTTTGGTTGGTTTGGTTTTGAATCTCCTAGCTACCCCTCGAAAAGTGTATGTGGGGGGCAGAGGACAGATCTGAGCACTGAGTCTGGGATTTGGGGATTAACACCATGGTCTCTCCCTAAGCACCCTCGTACCAAGCACCCATGGTGGTGCTGGGTCATTATTTCAGAGCCCCACTCCAATCCAGAGGCGCTGTGGCTTGCCCCCACCCCACTAGATGGGCAGCAGGATGCGCTGGGTGGAAGCTCAGGATCTCCATGGGTAGGAATGTGGGTGAACTTGGGGAGGGAGTGGGGGTCTCTAGGTCAGGGACATTGGTGATCAGCCTCTCCTCATTGACCCTATCGCATTGGGTCCCTTGCCGCAACCCCCTGAAGCTGGGCCTTAGCTCCCTGGCCTCCTGCCCGGTGTCCTGACTCTCCGGCCCAGGCACTAGGGCGAGGCCTCGCTGTCCCCGTCCCCGTGTCGGGCCACTGTCTGTCCTGCTTTAATGTTGCTGTTGCAGCTTGTGCTGACCTGCCCATTTGGAAGTGACTGGGTATCCCTACTCCCCCACCACCCTGCCTCAGCCCCTACCCTTGTCCACTGAAGCGTGTGCCCCTGTCAAGGTTGGAGACCCACAGCCCCCAAACGAGAAGTGCCCTTAAGAAGCTCCCCGGCCCTGCCACCCTGGAATAAATTTTGCAATTAGTTTCCAGCTACCTTTGCCTGTTTACTTTCTGGGGCCATAGCAGAACTTCCTAGGAAGGTTTGGGGGGCCTAGGGTAGGGCAGTGCTCTGATTAGGATGGAGGTGACACTCAGATAACCTTTGATTCAAAACAATGGGGAGGCTGACTGGGGTGTGGGAACCAGAATGGGGAACACCACTATGTGGGCCCCACTTCATCTCTGGGACCCCGCCATCCACAGGAGACCTGGGAGATGCTGGGGCCTTCTGGGGCTTCCATCTTAGTTCCACCATGGCCGTAAGAGTCAGTCCCCACCTTGGGCAGGAGGGAGCATTTAATGAGTACCTACTGCATGCACCCCTCTCACTGTCCCTACTGTAGCCCTGAGAGGCAAGGATTATAACCTAAGTAGGAGGAGATATGCGAGGTGTACCCCAATCACTAACCTGGAGGTGAAATTCAGGCAAACCTGGGTCCACCCGGCTCCCGAGCACTGTCCCCTTCCTCTGTGCCGGGAAGGCCTTGTGGGGTCCCTGCTCAGATTCCCGTGCCTCCTCCCCGCCACTGGGTGGCAGCAGTGGGCACAGCTGCCGTCTGAGGCGCCAGGCAGGACTCTGCATCTTCCTGTCCTCCCGTCTGCAATTTGTGGCCACTCTGTTACGTGCAGCCGCAGGTTACAGATGCGGAAAGTGAGGCACAGAGGGGGAAAGCGCTCTGTCCAAGCCACACACCGAGGAGGGGCAGAGCCATCATGCAAACCTCCATCGCCCCGACCCACCTTGACCGACCACGCTGCTCCTTGCCTACCTGGTACCTCTGCAGATTAGGAAAAGGCCCCTCAAGGGCCAGGCAGCCCAAGGCACACAGCTTGGCAGTGGCTTTTATGCGAAGAAAAATGAGTTCCTTTCCCTCTTGCACCTCCAGAAGTGAAACAGACACCTGGTGCTTGCCCCCGGGGGTGCCCCGTCTTTGGAAACTGTCTTAATCGGATCATGTCCTGTGTGAGACATCACATAATGGAACCAGACAACATGAGGATGGGACTGATTCTATCTGGGGACAGGAAGGCTTTGTACGCTGGGACCCCGGCTTCTAGTACCACGGAGGGAGCCGGAGGCACCTTTTCACCTCTACTTTGCCTGCACAACCTCCACTCCACCCACCTGGGTCTGGGTGGCTGCTCTGGTGCACCTCAGCTGGGCAGCAGGGCTGAGTTAGCAGGCTCCACCTGGATCCTAGACGGGGCCCCTCCCTCACCAGGCCCCTGCCTTGGGGCTACCCCCCCCACCCGCCCCAGACCCAACATGTCATCAGGCAGCACCATCTCATCAGACGCGGCGCTTCCTCTCGGCGATCTGCCCGGTGGCTCCCATGCACAATGAGTGCCCCCTGCCCTGCCGTGACCCAGGTCTGAGTCACGGAGACCTCTGAACCTCAGTTTCCTCCTCTGTATGAAAGGGGGATGGTGGCCTCCGGGTGAAGCAGCTGAGGCTGCGGAGGACTCCGGAATGCAGTAGGGGCTGATACATGCTGGCTGCACCCATCCTGAGGGGGACCAGGGTGAAGTGAGTCCCCAGGTGAAGGTGGTAGCCCCTGCTGCCCCCCAGGGAGCCTGGTGTCGTGTCCCCCACCCCGACCAGGGTAACCCCAAAGAGGAAGAGAGCTCCTCAGGGTTTATCACCGCAGGCACCGCGGGCTGCAGAACTGGGGGGGCAGCTGGGGGGAGGGGCGGTCACAGGCAGCCGCGGAGCTGGGCCCCGGTGGGGTGAGTGGGGGCGTCAGCAGGAAGGAGGGGGCCGTGGTCCAGGGGCTGCTCCCCAGGCTCCCTGTCCACTAGAGGCCCGGGAGGACACGCCCTGGGTGGACGGGGCTGCGGGAGAACCTGAGCGAGAGCCCCGAGCCCCCCAGACGGGAGGGAGGTCGCGGAGCCGGGCGGCACCTCCGGAGGGGCCCAGGCCTGCGCGCGTCCCCCTCCCGTCCCGGCCTCAGTTTCTTCACCCCAGGACCCCCGGGCGCCCCGGGGCTTCAGGGCTCGGAGGAGGGCGGGGGGCGGCGGCCTGCGCGCCCCGCACCGGGTGGGGGTGGGGGCGGCCGGGGCCGGCGGGGTGTCCGGCGGGTGGAGCCGCGCGCCAAGGTGGAAGCGGCTCCGTTGCTACGGGCGGCCTTAGCAACCACCCGCTCAGCCCAGACAAAGGCGCCGCCGCCGGAACGCGGAGGGCCCCCGCCGCGCCCCCCCCCGCCGCGCCCCCCGCCACGCCCCCGCGCCCCCGCCGCGCCCCCCGCGCCCCCCGCCGCGCCCCCCGCCGCGCCCCCGCGTCCCCCCCGCCGCGCCCCCCGCCGCGCCCCCGCGCCGCGCCCCCGCCCCCCCGCCGCGCCCCCCGCCGCGCCCCCCGCCGCGCCCCCGCGTCCCCCCGCCGCGCCCCCGCCGCGCCCCCCGCCCGCCCGCCCCCCCCCCCTCCCCGCGCCCCCCCGCCCCCCCGCCCGCGCCCCCCACGACCCCCGCCGCGCCCCCGCGCCCCCCGCCGCGCCCCCGCCGCGCCCCCGCGTCCCCCGCCGCGCCCCTGCTCCCCACGCCGCGCGGCGCCTGCGGGTGGGGAGGGGCGGCGGGCGGGGCAGGCCGGCAGGGGGCGCCTCCGGCCCGTGTTGCAGAAGGGGAAGCGGAGACGCGGGGTGGGGCCCAGGTTGAGGGGTGCCGGCCGCTCGCACCCAGGTGGCCTCCGGCGCCTCCGCTTCCCCACCGCCGGGTGGGGCCCGGCCCAGCCCGGCCCAGCCCGGCCCAGCCCTGCCCCGGCCCTTGGCTGCCGGCATCGATCCTGCCTCGGCTCCTCGACTGCACCGCGAGGGGGCGGTGGCACCTCCCTCCCCCAGGGGGACTCCGGGACCCCTCCAGCCCGGCAGCAGAGCCCAGCCCCGCGGAGGGCGGGAGGCGCCCCTGCTTCAGGGTGCGGGCCCGGCCGGGGGGCTGACCGCTGCCTCTGCCCTGGCCGGGCCAGTCCCCGCCTTGAGCAGCAGGGTGGGGTGTGAGCAGCCTGCTCCACGCGGCCCTCCCGGTGTCACGCCTCCATGCCATGCCCCACTGGGGAAACTGAGGCCTGGGAGGACAGCACTTGCTCCTCCCTGTCTGGGTGCCTCGGCCCCGGGGGCTGGTATCAGGACAGAGGCCCAGGTCAGGAGGCTGGGCTGGGGGGCAGGGGGAGTGTGCCCAGAGGAGGGCCTCTCCGGGAGGGAGGACTCTGCTCATTGTCCCTCCTGGCCGCAGCGGCTCTGGCACGAGCTCCCGCGTGCACTCGTGTTCCCGGGAGCCCACGGTGTGGGTGGAGACGCCCAGGACCCAGCGAGGAGCAGAGGGAGAGGGAGGCCCCTGGAGTTGTGGGGGGCCAGGTGTGGTTGTGCCCCAGCTCTTCTAATTAGAGCACAGTAGGAGGGGGGGGTCCAGGCCCCAAGGGTGAAAGAGGACCCCTCAGGGGGGAGCCGTACCCCAGGCCTTGGATGCTGTCAGCAACACAGTCCGTGGACAGAGGGCCCATCAGGACGCCCCCTCCTTCTGCTCCTCTGTCCTGGGGGCCCTCAGCTACCTTGGCAGTGACTTCCCTACCCCCCGCCCCCAGTGGCCTTGGCATTCACGGTAGCTCCCAGTGCCCTTTTAGCCTGGTAACTGAGGAACCATCCCCTCAGAACCCCAGGGGAAGCCCCCCCAAGCCTGGTCTCCCCTAGTCTCTGGTTTCCCCAACCTTGCAGGTCACACTTGCCAGGTTCTCGGCAAAGCCCAGCAGGGCCCTCCCCACCCCAGCCTCACCGTCTCTTGAGTTCTGCAATGGAGGATGGTGAACATGGTGGATTCTGGGTGTGGATCCCTAATGGGGGAAACACTCCAGTAGGTGAACTTTTGGGAGACCGAGGCAGGAAGCTCTCTCTCTGCTCCCCCCCCCCCCGGGATCATCATTATCAAAGACCCTAAGAATTCACTCAGAGATTTGCCCCACAGATGAGGGATTAGGGAGCTGCGGCCCAGAGAGGGCGGCATCCTGCCCAAGGACGCACAGCAGGTGAAGCAGCAACGGGGGCGGGAACTCCTGGCCTGGCCTTGAACTCATTCAACCCACATCCTGTCTCAGGGCCCCAAATTTCACCTATCCACCTGCGTTCAGGGATCCCCCCCAATCTCAATCCCCTCTTCATGAGCCCCCGGAAAGGACCCCAGGCAAATCCTGCCTCTGGGCTGAGCACCGGGAGGGTCTGTTCCTGGAGCTGGTGGCCAGGAGGGCAGGGGCCCTTTCTAAACCACCCTCTAGGCCCCAAGGTTGCAGAAATCCCCGGCCTCGGTCTCTTTGTCTTTCAGAGGGTCTAATAGGATCTGCCGCTGCCCTCCCAGCCCTGCCTGAGCACTGGGGAGACGGAGCACTGGGGAGCAGGGACCGCAGAGTGGCGAGGCTGGACCTCTGAGAGCCGAGTGTCTCGGGGTGGAGCCAGAGTCCAGCATGGTCCTGGGCTGCCTCTCAGGGACCTGGGGGCCTAGGGTGGGATCCCCTGAAAGGAGAGAGTTGGGTGCTCAGCTGGTGTGGGTGGAGCTGCCTGTCCCTCGGGCCCCCACCTACCTGTGCTGCGAAGGGCTCCGCCTCTCCTTGGTCACCTCTGCAGTGTGCTCAGACCTGGGGGCGGTCATTGGTCAGACTGGGACCTTCCTGCCACCTCTGCCCCAGGCTGAAAGTCCCTTGCAGGCAAGCCTCACCGTTCCCTCTTCTCTCCCCGCCCCCCAACACATACTCACCTCCGGTTGTAGGCCGCACAGACCAGGGAGATGTAGGGCCCCGGGACAGACCCAACAGGTGAGCAGGCATCGCTGGCGGGAAGCATTTCTAACTGATACATGAACACTGACTTGAAGATGCCGTGGGGGGCCTCCCTGGTGGCCTCCCTGGTGGCGCAAGCTATGAAGCTTCTGCAGCCTCTGCAGCACACGTTCGATCCCCAGCCGGCCAGGGAGCAGCCCACATGGGCGCAGACCTCTCCTGTCTCCCCGCTGCTCCCCTCAGCAGTGTTCTTGTTCCATCTGCCTGTTCTGTTCCCTGCTCTGTCTCTGGTGAATCCTTTCAAACCCCCCCCCACACCTCTGGCCTGTACCCCAGCGCTTGTATGCATAAATAAATAAATCTAAAAAAAAAAAACAAAAAAAAGAAAATGCAGTGGGTGGTGCACAAGCTTTGAAAAACCAGGACTCAAATTCCTTTTCCCCCACTTTGAGCCTCAGTTTCCGCAGCCGTGAAATGGAGCCAGCGACACCCACCTGTCGGGCATGTCACGCCCGAACGACGTGCCCGCTTGGAAGCGCTCAGCGCGTGGGAAGGTGACATGGAGTTTCGTCCCATCAAACTCAAAATCTGCTCTAACACAAAACCAAGAAAGGGGCGTCGTTAGAGGCAGGGTATGGCCAGGAATTTCCCCCCTTTCTTTCCTGGCTGCAGAGGCTCGTGAAGCCTCCAGGACGCTGGCCCCTGAGCCCGGGCGGTGGCGGGCACCCCGGGGCCGGTGGCGGGCACCCCGGGGCGGGCCTGTCCCTCGCAGGCGGCGGCAGGCGGCGCTCGAGGCTCGCGGAGCCGGCGCGGGCCCTCACCTGGCTGTCGGGGGGGGGTGCGCGTGGGGGGAGCGGGCTGGGAGGCTGAGCAGCGCCGCTGTGACTCGAGGTAAAAATAATCAGGGCAGGACAGCTGCTTCCTTGTCAGCAACCAAGAGGGAAATAAAGCTCGCGTCCCCTCCAGCGAAAACCTGCTCTCCGGGTCCCCCGGCCCCTGCCACCAACTGCTCGCCGTCCCGGTGCCAATCGGATTGGAGCGTGGCGCTGCACCCCAGAGAGGGCTGGTTTTAACTTCATCAAGCGCCAAGCAAAACATCCAGGCTGGAGAATGCGGGAGGGGGGGAGCAGCTGCTTGGGGGCGCCGCCAGGGATGGGGTTCCCTCCTCCAAATCTAGTTCAACAATTGACCCTTTCCATTCAGCCGGGGTGCCGGGAGCACCCAGGGGTGTGCCCCGAAGTCAAGGGCTGGGAGCCCCAACTCCGAAGTCCTTTGCAATGCCTGCCCCCCACCCTTCTCCCGCCTCCCAAGCAGACTGCGGGGAGCGCCAGGCCCGCCGTGCCCCCTCCCGAGCTGCCTTCCCGGTTCTGCCTGGTGGGTGTCTAGAAATGCTGGGGTTCCCGCCTTTGCCCTTCTGCCCCTGCCTCCGTCCCTAGTCTCCAGCACACAC